ATTGTCCGTGGGATTCAAAACTTACATTCTTTTTGTTTTTTTTCATATAAAATTAATGTAATCTTAGTCTTAGATAAGTTTATCACTTAACCAAAGTGAAAATAGTAATAATAATAATATACTTACGGAGCACCAACTAAAAGTTTGCTGATTTTCATTACAAATCTCTCAAAAGACGTTTGAACAGCTCGGTTAAAAAGACACCAAATAAATAAAAACGGATCAAACTACTACAGCGCCATCTTCCTTAGAGTCTGAACTAAGTCCTCCGTCGGTAAAAAAAATTTTATTTGCAATTTAAAATAGTGAAAATTAAATAAAACCAAAATGGGTAGACTCGCCCCTGGATGAGTAGACTCGCCCCGGTTTACGGTAGCTTTGTTGAAATTTATCTTTTTTTATTATTCTTGCTTTATAATACTCATAAGAACTCTATCTAGGGAGTAGACTACGCAATTGACGTAAAATTATTATTATTTTAATATTTTATTGAAAATATCGGCATATTATTTTGGCGAAAATTGCAATTAGTTATTTTTATTTTAGCTATAGAATAAAAAAAATAATAGTTTAATCAACTTGTCCGTAGTCTGTTCCCCAAACATATGTATAACAAACATTCACGATTAATTTCAAGTAATTCGAACGGAAATATTTTAAGATATGGCATTTAAATTGAAGGAAAACAACCGAAAAATAGTTATTAAGAGAAGACAAAAATGGCGCAATTATGTATTAACCAGAATAAATGATATTTTAGGTCATCATAACATTTGTTCGATTTGACGCAGAAACAAAACTAAAACATTAATAGAACGAGGAAAGTTCACAATGTAATTACCATATATAAAAAAGAAACACAAAAATTATTTTTGTAGACAAAATCTGCTTAAAAAAGGTAGTCGGGTACCTTAAAGGCGGTCAATGGTTGCTATTATATGCTTCATAGAATAATAGTTCAAATGGAGTTCGAAATATCGTATTGTTTTTGGCTCTTGAGATAAAAAGGAAAAATTAATTATCATTAAATTATTGTATTTGTAATGGTCTAAATTTAAGCCCTAATGCCAATTAAGACTGTTCAAATATGCTTTTTCTTCTGATATAATAAGAGCTTTTCATTAAATAAGTTTTCCTAATAAAAATAAAAGATTTTTTAAAGTTTTTTACATATATATATATATATATATATATTTTAAGTTTAGTTTAAACATAACTCAGCTTGTTTGACTCAATTTGATTTATCCATACACCACAAACTACTAGACAAAAAGCCACATATTTCAACTACCTAACATAAAAAGTAATTTAAAGACTGATGTTGATGAAACAATGCAAAAACGCCCTAAATGTTTCAAATTTATTTGTAGTTTCTTTCTCTTTTGGTTAGCATATTCATACCTGCTAATGGACTTAATTTAAAAGTAAGGGTTCCGCCAAAAAAAGTTCGATCTTTAGAGTTCCGTAAATGAAAAAATTTGGAAAACGCTGTATTACGGACCCTAATGATGCTCTAAAGGGGTGCTCTGAGGGACTCGCTAGGTCTCTTGTGAGTGGGGTAATGAAAATGACACTTTAAAATTGCATTTTAACTTCTTAGCTTAATATATTATTGACACACCTTTGAGCACTAAGCGTGATATTTCAAATTTATAACAGGAATCCATTGAGTAATTCTAATGATCCATTAGTAATGATGTCGCCTTTCACGATGAAAATTAAACGCTTACTTCAAGACATTTAAGAATTAGGCATAGATTGAGATAAAGAATTTCAGATACAATCGCCAAGGAGCCAAAGTGATTTTAAACGAGAATTTCTTTTTAAAAAAAGTGCGTAGAGGTTTGCTCGGGGGTGGCTCCCTTCAAGTAGTTCCCTTTTTGTGATTTTTTAAAAATTTATTGTCGGCAGACAATAAAAAAATGTTACAAATAAAAAAAAATCTCTTTACACATTAAAAAAAAATTATTGAGAGTAGGTGGCAGACAGAAGAATTGTAATGTTTCGGAAAAGGCGAAACGTCTGATAATCCTGCCCAAAGTTACGGAATTAATACTAAACTTTTATCATGAAATTTATTTCCACTTTGGTTTCAGTTATTGCAATCATCAATCAGGTAGACATATTGTATAATTAATGCCTAAGATCCTATAAGAAAATGCATATGGAAACGCATTCAGTATTGCAGAATTTTCATTCTAAATTTACTGTAAAATAGCCGGCAATAATCTGCTCATCCAATTAACTGTAAAGTTTATAGTAAAGAATAATCTTTCCATTACGGTTTCAAAACCATTTACATCTAATATGGTTAAAAGAAAACATGAATACAAAACTATAAGGTTTTTTAACCCTTTACAACTGGCATAATTTCAAAACCGTAAAACGAAATTCAAATTGACAATAGAGCTAAGCTTTTTGCCAGACAATGGGCTTAGTAGTTAGGTTGTGTTTATGAAATGAACTGTGGAATGAGGTTTAATTAGTTCATCTCGTTGTATCACTTATCGTAAGAGATATGAACAACGAGGAAGATATGAAATACTAGATTTATTTCTGCAAGTTCATGGTGCTGCCATCTATGTGTGAATGAGAGTATTGTATTCTAGGAGTCCAGGATCATAAATTGGGAAGTAAAGGACACTGGAAACTCTTTATGTGTACATAAGAATAGAGGAAATATTGTGGAGTCACCGCTGGGACTTGAACCCCGTTCTGTTTGTAATGAGATTGACAGATTAGCCGTCTTGGCTATAATATGCACCCAATTGCTAGGAACTAAGTGGATTCATTAGGTGGGCCTAGTTGGTTCGATAAAGTTCAGGTTTTAACTATATTAGATGAAAGCAGTCAATAAACGGTTTTTGTCTCAGTTAACAGTTTGAATGCCATCTTAGTTATAGTTATTTGTCTGTTTTATTTGAATATGGTAAAATAACAATTAAGTAAGTTGTTATTTAACCATTGTTTCCGAGAAATTTCTGACTTTGCAGAAATAGTACTAGCAATGCTTCTCAGTTAATGGCAGATCTACCTAGATCAAGAGTCGTTCCGTCTAGAGCTTTTAATAAGGTAGGTTTCGATTTAAAGACCCTATTTAGTCAGAATTAGAAAGGGAATAGTTATTAAACCAAATAAGCCTTACGTTTGCTTATTTGTTTGTTCTACGACGAAAGCAGTTCATTTAGAAATCAGTAGCAATTTACCAACTGATACTTTTACTGACTGATGACTTTAAGTTTTTAACTGACTGATTTATTGCTTCGTTACGCAGTATTTGAGCTAAAAGAGGAAAACTCAGGCAATTTGCTGCGATAAAAGGACTAATTTTATTGCGGCTAAAAAAGAACACGAAAAAAATTCTATTGTGCAACAATGAATAGGATATACTTTGTGCTATGTAGACTAAAGCAAAAAAAAAAAATAATAATAAATAAAAATTTAATTAANAAAAAAAAAAAAAAAAAAAAAAACAACGCGAATAAAGCGAAAATGAAAGTACATAAATGGGCATACTATAGCTTCAATAAACAAGAACCTTCCTCAGTATCTAAAAAGCCAAGTGATTGTAGAGAAAGTAAAGAGACAAACACGTGCAAAAGAGTTGAACCAATTGGAACAGAGGAACACGTTTCGACAAGGAAATTAAAAGGAAGACAAGAGACAGGTGTGAGAGGATTTGACGGGAACGCCAGGGTACAACAGATTAAATCACCGTCTCCCAATACTTCCAAGTATTGGGAGACCTTGGGTACTAGTAAGATAATTAACTGAATTATTAAAATTACATAATATGTTATTATGAATAATCTTTACTCACGCACAAAACTAAAAAAAAAAGAAAAGAGATTAGTCCTTCACTATTGCGACATCAACCAAGTCTAGTGTCAGGACTCATTTTGTGACTGTCAGGCAGTAGGCTCGACAGGACGTAAAAGATGGATACTTAAAATCAAGTTAGGCCTAGTTTTTAAAAAAAAGAAGAAAAAAACTTGCGAGGGGAAAACTAGAGAATTCCATGGCTACCGTGTTTCCTCTTGTTTTCCTCCATAAAGTTTTCCCTTCCACTTTTTATTAACAACTGTGCTTATGTTCATAGGTATCAGTAGTAGTAATAGTTTATTTATGTCGCTCTAGAGCTGCACTACGGGCTATTGGCGACGGTCAGAGAAGCATTCCTGAGGAAGATTCGAAACATGCCATCACAATTTTGATTCTGTGCGGAAGGGACCGACATCGCACACCCTCGGTCTCTTACGTGACAGATCAAAGTGGTCACCCACCCGCACACTGACTTATGTTCATTGGAAAAACTAATTTATGATTCCATGCTAATGGTAATTAATTATTTTTTTACTAATTAATTTAATTTTGAAAAAGAAAGGTATCATAATTTCGCTTTTTTTTGTTCTACTTCCTTAAAAATACAATTATATTTACCGTATTATGGCTACTCTCATATTTTGAAGATGTGAAATCCGAAGATTTGGAAAAAGCAGAATGCGTTAGTGTCAGACAAATTACGTCTAAGTGTTATATTTACGTAATTTTGATTATTGTCGAAAGTGATTAATTTAAGTATTCAAAGCGCTTGTCCAGAATCAAAATTCAGTAAATCAAATCCAATGAACATAATTTAATAAATCACTTGTATGTTGTTAAGTAAACTTATAAGTCTTTTTCTTTTTTTAGACACTGTTCTGAAAACAATGAAGCAACAGAACAGAAATTCTGGCATTTCCATCCTAAATGGAATTTTAGGAGAAATCAAGTTAGATCCTGGACTTGTAAAGGAGAATAACGAAGTTCTACGTGACTTCCTGGATACTTTCGTGCCCGAAATGGAAGAAGTTGATGAAATTTTTAAGTGTTTGTATAGGTATTCATACTACACTGGAAGTTTTTATTCGGATCTTCGAATTTATTCCCCTGATGAATACGACATCAACTTCGTGTTAGACATGCCCTTTGAAGACCACGAATTTAGAGTAATGTATACGTTTATTCTAATTACGTTGTATACGTTTATTCTAATCTACGTACGTTTATCTACGTATGTATACGTTTATTCTAATCTTATTCCTATTACGTTGTTCTAAATATAAAGTTTTCTTATTCTTTTATTATCCCATAATTTTTATGAATAAATTGTTTGATAAACAGTATACATGTACAGCTAACGTGTACTAAATTGTGTGTGAAATAATTTCTATTTATTAATACGTGTACTTAATTGTGCATGTAATAGTTTCTATTTATTAATACGTGTACTTAATTGTACATGTAATAGTTTCTATTTATTAATACGTGCACTTAATTGTGCATGTAATAGTTTCTATTTATTAATACGTGTACAGCTAACGTGTACTAAATTGTTTGATAAATTATATTGTGTGTTAAACAGTTTTTATTTATTAATGCGTACACAGGTAACGTGCACTAACTTTTTTGTTAAACAGTATAGTGTGTTAAACAGTTTTTATTTATTAATACACGTACAACTAACGTTTACAAAATTGTTTGTTAAACAGTGTTATGTGTTAAACAGTTTTTATTTATAAATACGTGTACAATTGCAGATTGCCTGTTAATTTTTTATTAAGTTTTTTTATGAATAAATATAAGGGGTGTTCAATAAATAACGACTCGCATGTTGATGCGATACACCTATTTCATGGGTGATGGCAATACAATTGATCCAAACGTTATGGGACACAAAATTTAAAATGAAATTCTTTCTTTATCTAACACAACCAAAATTTTTTTTAGAATTTCAAGCGGGAAGTTCTTACTCATCCACCCTAGAGCTCTGACCTTCCGCCTAGTGATTTGGCCCTGTTTGGGGGAACTAAATATTTTTCGTAGCATACTGCTTATAGTTAAATGATGAAAAAATTCCTTCATAGAACGTATGAATCTAATTATTTTTATACATTACATTTTTATATATTAGATATAATTATTTTTATATATTATGAATCTAATTATTTTTATATAATTAATCTATGGCTATAAATGTTCCGTTTCGTGCGTTTTTATTTCTCTTTAAGAAACTCGGTAAATTTGAGGAAAATTTATTACTCACAACTCAATTCAATCAACTTTTTTCACGTATTATACATTTGAAAAGTTGCTGGTAGTTGTTTTTCAAAAAGACTTCTATATATTTCTAGTTAATTAATAAATATATGAGACAGTATATTTACTATTTATAGTTTTTACCAGGCACCTGAATTTCAAGGTTCAATTTTGCACCTTAAAAAAATAAAATACATAAATTAAATTCTTGCATATTTGGTTGATGACTTCATAACTATCTATGTTTGTAACTGAAAAGAGACTTTGCAGTGCATTTTTTTTCTTTTCAAATTTCGTAAGTTTGGAGTACAATGAATTTTTTTAAATAAAATTTGCAAAATAAAAACAATGTTAAATATCTAAAATAAAAAGCGTAAAATTAAATTTGGCAGTTTTTATTCTCAAATAATCCAAAGAATAGTTAACCCCTCAAAAAGAACCTGCGATTAAAGTAAGCTTTAAAGTTAGAGGTGAAGATGGCATGTATATAATTTTGTTTTATTTGAGAACTCTATAATTACACCAACTACGTTTGTTAATTTGTTTGTCATCTATTTATATTTTACTCAACTGCTATTCCTAGTTTTTTTTATTATTTTTTTATTATTATTATTATGCAGGCAGGAAGTGCCGTCCTTAAGGCCTGTTTAGACGATCCAATTTCTTGGACAGAGATTTATTGATATTGATGGAAACTTGTTTTGCTTTGAGCTTGGATCGTGTAAACAGTGATCCAAGAACTTGGTCCAACTTCTTGGACGATAGTAGAGCATGTTCTACTTTCCATCCAAGTTTTTTCTCCCTTAACCAATCAGCGTCTTAGGTTTTGTGACGTCAACAATCAGGCAGCAAATTATGTAATTTTGTTGTCTCTTTTCATATATTTTAGTCCAAATAAATTGATCTGTTGCGGTTTATTTGTGTTATTATGATTTTGTTTGAATTTATTTAGTAATTTTAAACTTATGTAAGCATTATTTTATAATGTTGAATATTAACAATGCGCATGCGCAAGTTTTTCTTTCAATCAGTTTTGAATCAGTGACATTCAAGAACTTGGATAAAGTCGACGAATCATCCGATTTCTTGGATAGAGAAATTCGTCCAATTTCTCGGATTCAAGAAATTGGACCGTGTAAACAGGCCTTTAATCTATATTTTTAGAATCCTTAACAAAAATGATGTTGAATTACTACTGAGGAAGCGTGACCAAAAACATCAATGCTTACTTGATCGCCGACGGAAACAAAAATTTAAAGGCGATTATTAGATACCTCTTCAACACTCATGAGGCAATTAAACTGGTTTTTCATTTCTCCTTCGTCAGTTTTCGATGGAGTTTTTCTTTTTTCGACTCCTATTTTTGACAAGGATTTTATTTTTGTGTATATTAAGGTCGGTGATTATTAAGTCCAAAAGATATTTACTTTTATGAAAATAAAGGAATAAGAGTTGAAAGAATAAAATTCTTCCAGATAACGTTTCAACAAGAGTCGAATTTTGTGACTTATAGAGCTATCCCTCCTCTCCAAGAAAGCTTCTATTTATTTGAAAATGGTTTTCTCATTCCTGAAAATGTTCGAAACTGGTTTCAAAGTGTCGTGCATAAAGCTCTTAATTCATACAGACCGCCAGAAACAATCCAAAACGTAAGTTTTGCTTCTTCATCTATTCATTCAATAATGTATCAATTCATAGTCAATCAACGATTGGTTTATGAATAAACCAATCATTACGTAAAAGGATCCTACACAATTATTTTTAAAAGTTTAAATTAAGTCTAAATAGTTAAGTTAAAGTCCTGAATAGTTTTAGAGACGTCAGGTTTAGAGAGGGGCGGAACAAAGGGAGCTAAAACTATACTAAGGCAACTAAAACTAAGTTCGGTAACTTAAACATTGGTCATTTTTAACAAAAAAGTTATTTTTTCCATTTTTTAATTTTTTTTGTGAGTTGAATTAAACGAGACTAAAACTAAGTTAGGTAGTAAAAGAAGCTTAAACATTGATCATTGTTGACAAAAGAGTTATCATTTCCAATTTTTTCTTCTTTTTTTGTACGCTGATTTAAATAAAACCAAAACTAAGTTAAATAAAGGAGCTTAAACATAGGGTATTGTTGAAAAATTATCTATCGTTTCAAATTTTTTCCCTCCAAAACTAAGTGAGGTAGTAGAAGAAGCTTAAACTTAGAATATTGTTGACAAAAGAGTTATCTTCGCCCCTTTTCTTTTTCTTTTTGTACGATTTAAATGAGACCAAAACTAAGTTAGGTAAAGGAAGCTTAAACATTGGGTACTGTTGAAAAATTTGCTACTGTTTTCAATTTTCTATATTTTTTTTGGAAGCTGAATTAAATGAAACCAAAACTTAGGTAGTAGTAAAAATTTAAACATAGGTCATTGTTGGCAGAAAAGTTATTGTTTCCAATTTATTTATTCTGTACGCTGAATTAAATGGAACCGAAACTTAGATGGTAGAAGAAATTTAAACATTGGTCATTGTTGGCAATTATGTTGTTATTTCAATTTTTTTTCGCTTTTGTATGCTGATTTAAATGAGACCAAACTAAGTTAGGTAAAAGAAGCTTTAACATAGGGTATTGTTGAAAAATTAGCTATTGTTTCCAATTTTCTCTTTCTTTTTTTGTACGCTAAATCAAATGAGGACCAAAACTTAGTTTTGTAGTAGAAGAAAGTCAAATATTGGTCATAGTTGGCAAAAGAGTTATTGTTTCCAATTTATTTATTCTGTACGCTGAATTAAATGAAACCAAAACTTAGGTGGTAGAAGAAATTTAAACATTAGTCATTGTTAACAATTAATTTATTATATCAATTTTTTTGTACGCTGAATTAAATGAGACTTAAACATTGATGATTGTTATTGAGAAAAATTAGTTTTTGTTTTCTATTTGTATTTTTTAACTCTGAAAGCTTTTTCTATCTTTACGCAGTTAAGAGACAACAGTTCCAAAAAATGATTTTTTAAAATCTAAAATATATTCATTTGTATACATTCTGTAATTCTAGCTCCGTTTCAGCTATTATTATCAATTTTAATCTTTCATTGGTTATTTGTATGCATCTAAATAACTAATTTACAATTATCACTATTTTCATAGGTGTATGTCAGAGAAACAGGTCCAGCCCGGACGATAACTATAGTGAAAAATGATGGTGAGACAATAGATGTTGATCTTGTTCCAGTGATAGGGTGTATGTCTCTGAATATGTCCAGAGTTAAAATGGACAAAAGAGTTAAAACCATAGTTGGAAGAAATCTTGAGGTAAGAAATTGGAAAATCAAATTCTGGATTTGGCAAAATCGGCCCAAGTAGTCAACAGGAAAAGACTCTACCTATCCTGTTAAGGTTTTATAGATTTTGTTTTCGCCTATTCGTAGTTGAAGAGCTTAGTGGAAAAACCGGCAAAGTGACATTTTAAAAAAAAAATTGAGATTTCACGGGAAAAGTTCTTATTTTATGCTTTATTTAAATACATAACATTCAGTTATATTGCTACATCTATTCATTCCGAAAATATTTAGTGGAAGAACAGGCTAATTGACATATTTTGAGTATTTATGGGTTGGAAGAACCGGCTAAGTGACTTGGCGGCAAATAGTCAGAAAACAACCCTAGAAAATCTTTTGCTTGGCTACATTATGGAGGCATTTATGTTTTTTTTCACGAATTAATAATTAAAAGAGATAAGAAAAAATAACCTTAAACAGTTTCAACATATAGTTTTTTTTTTTTTCTGATTCGCATTAGTTAGTGTTTCAAACACACTGCCCTATTAAAAAAAAATTTTTTTTTTCTGAGCAAAGATGCGTTTAAAACAAATATTGTTTTGTGCTTATGCAATTGTTTCAGTTTATTAATATTGTTACTAGCTGAATACTCGTTTTTTTTTTACATAAAACTAAGTTATCAATAAATCGGTAATGATAAACATTGCAAAATTATGCACAGAATTAAAAAGAGATATGCAGATACAATCATTCCGCATTGCTAGAGACCAACTCCAAAAATTACCATAATCAACAATTTTCTCCGGTATGTATCCCATTCGGTATTCTGTAAAAAACCTATTTCCCTAGTACTTATAATAGGTATCGTGATACATATGTTAGCATATATAGTACAGATTAAAACAGCACCAATTAACTTATGTATAACTGATACCTATTAAAAAAAATCTATTTATAGGATTATTATTTTTAAATGGTAAATGAGAAGGAGCTCATCAACAATTTTTAAGATGTGTGCGCTCGCTTAAAATATTAAGTGTTAAATCAGAAATGACGAGCGTAATTATACGTTTGACAAAACGACAACTTTATCATAAAAATCAGCATGGCTCAGCGGAAACAGATTAACTTTACATATGAACGAAACACGGAGAGAGATAGTTAAATTTTATATTGCTTTCTGTTAGCAGGTATCGCCATGCTGATGCAAAATATACTTTGGTCGAAACATATTTAAACGGTCCATTGGTATCGGGTTAACCACGAGAGGTTTTCGTGGTTCTTACCTCCATTTTGACAGATGTTGATTAGTTTCACTTAAAAGAATTCTTCTTGAAGGTGAAGGTGACTTTGTTCTTTAAACAGTCGTTCTCTTGTATTCTAGATTCAAGGTTAAGAAGCTGAAATTTAAAAAAAGCTGCATATTCACTGAGCAGTTTGGTGTTCAAGGGTGAAAATTCGTGAAGCAGCGGTAATCTAAATTATGAAAACGCGTAACTAATCATGAACGCGTAGTTTACCACGATACAAAGAACCCATACCCTGTTTTATAAACATTTTTATCAATTAAAATGTGTCAATTTTGCATGAAACTACATTACTTTTAATGCAAAATTGAAAATAATTTGTATTTCGACAACCATATTTAGATATTTTTTGTATTAAAACTAATAAAAATACTTGCATTTAATTTCTGAAATACCTTTAGATGTAACGAAAGGACATAGCATTTTGACCACAGTCAGTGCTATATTAAGAAAATACTTTTTTTAAAATCAAAAATTACCAAATTCTGGAGAATTAAAGCGATACATGCAGATGAAACATCTACTCCTCGAAAATTAAGCTCATGCTGCCTCTGAATCGTTCCTGATCGCTTTTCGGACTAACAAGGATCGATGAAATTTGATATCAGTTTGTTCCAAATTGAGGTCTCTAAAATTTTATTCTATGAATATAAGCCTTAATATATGTATATTTAATTTATCTTTTCAAACAAAACTGTATTCGATGAAAAACATTAAAAATCGTCTGAGAAAACAAGAAAGAATTTCTAATCTAGAAAATTATTAAAATCTCCCTTTATTAAAGAGTTAAAATCAAATAAATAGACCCCCAAAAATTTTGTGAGTTATGTATGCGCTAAAAAAATGTACTAAAAACATAAAGATTGATCAAAAAGAGGAAGAAGGAGCGCATAAACATTAGCGCTCAAATTTACTAAAGTGTCACTTAGCCGGTTCTTCCACTAAACTTTTCCTTTATTTAGGTACTGTGATTAATCTGTACTAATATTTTGGAGTTGAAATTTTCGATGATTTATAATGAAAATTGTAGAAGGAAATCTAGTGTGTGTAAGCGATGCTTGCCACTTTTTTCAAAATTATGCTAACATATTGATTTATCTATGCAAAATGTGTATATGACTAAATCAAATCAATGTGTGTAACCAATCTACTAAAAGTTTTAACCAATTTTATTTATTCATTTATTTAAACAACTAGACCCGTGTTAGTAATCGTACATCAGCTCTCGAAACTGCTAAACAGTTAAATTCAGATCGCTTCGCCCTCTCAGCTCTTTTCGTTCTCATTTTCTTCATAATCTTGTATAATACCTAAGCTTATATGCATTTACAGTAAGTTTTATTTAAGTAGTTTTAGAGGTTACTCGCAGTTATTTTTATCCCTAGATTTTAGGAAAAAATATGCTCAGCTTATATGTACTGCTATAATTTAAATAAATAAGTTTTTCTTTAATTGTATTATTTTCTTGTTTTTTTCTTAAATGTTCTTATATCAGTTTTTCCCGTTCTTGTATATTCTTTTGCTCGGTTAAAATTTTTCTGAATTAGCAGGGTCCTCGGTGACGGCGATTGTTAGTAAATTTTTTTCCTACTACTATTCTGCCATTAATGATTACTAAATTTCTACTAATTTAAAAAAAAAAAACTTTCTTATTTATTGAACATTTGCTTTAATCATAAGCTAATAATGTAAAAGCAGTTTTCTTTTTAGATAACAATTGTAAAATTTGTGTGATTTTTATTTGTAGGCATTTCTTATACCAAAATCACCTCCGTCACCATATGACAGATCAAACATTGGACATTACTTCGATAGAACAGAAGTAAGACGCTTGTGGCGATGTCATTTTCCACAATCAGAACGGTATATTATATATCAAAAAGGCTGCGCCAAGTCTGTTATAAGGCTACTAAAGGTATTTTTTAATAATGATCTCTGCTATTAAGTATTTTTTTAAAATATTTTTCAAATGTGCTGTCCAAATTTTTTTTAAAAAAACATTGTATTCAGAATAAATTTTGATCTAACCATCGATTATTATATACTTCACGGTTTGAAGAACTCAAGCTAACTAGTTAGTGCGCATGAAAATTTAGGCTTGGAAATCAGACACGAAAACCTTGAAAAATGAAATTTTAACGTTATCTGTTGAATAGTGTCTGAAAATCCAATACAGCCTAAGTTTAAAATTTGTATACCTCATGAACTACTTAACGGTTTTGTTAAAATTAAAAACTTGCTTGAAAAAGAATGTAAAACACTTTTAAGGCATCAGGCTGGTTTTGTCATAACTTATAACTTTAAAGTAAAGTTAAAAAATTTATGAAGTATTTTTTAAAATAAGCTGAAATTTGAGCTTAACAACTGCACGTTTTTCATGTCACGCTAACAGCTCTACAGTAATTTGTAATGTTTACATTTCAGAATAATTTTTTTCCAGATCAATTGTGTAATTGCCTTTTTTTTAAAACTGAAATATGAAAAAAAGACGATGAAATAGAACTAAGTATATTGTTTAATAATGAATTTTAGAAATAACAAACTCTAAATTATTAAAACTTGATAAAAATAACGAATTCACACTTAGACCTTAGCTTTTAAACATTATTCAAAATCTACATACTAAATTTCAAAGAATTCTATAATAAACTTCTTTCATAATATGAGCAGCATCCTTGGTGAGCAGCAGCGGTCAGGTGGTTCAGCCCTTTAGTTACACCAAAACTGTCCAACGATGTTCAAAGATCAGGTCTTGAGAAGACTGTATAATTCAATTTTAGTCGCATTTTCTTCCCGTTGGTGAGAAGTGAACACAATTTTTGGATTTAATTTTAAAACTCAAATAAGTGCAAAATTGAAATCCTTTTCTCTCAATTCATATATTAAGATGATTGAAATATGCACTACTGCTACTTATAATTAAAGTTTATATATTCGTTATTTGAGCTTAAAAAAATTAACGAAATAAACAAACATTAATGAAAATGAGTGCCCTTTCCAGTTCGAAATGTGAAGTTACTCGCACTTTAAATACGTAGCGTTAACGAAAAAAATTTTTTATTAGTTTTTTCACGGTAATATCAAACCAGTTTAGTTATTTACATTATTTATGGACGTTTTTTTTTTTATTTATTTTTTTTTTAATTTTTTTTTTTTAAACTGGTAACATCTGTAGGACTAATAACGTTGACACACCACACTGTAGATGTCCAAGCTAGAGGCTGAACTACATTGAGCGGTATAAATCAATTAGCGGTATTTAAGTAAGAAATACTGTTTGTCTAAGATAGGTACTCTGACCGCCACTAAGTCTACGACAGTCTGGTGCTATGGAAACAAGAAGAGGGCATTTTAGGGAGGGTAGCTTCGATGAAGAGGTCTCCTTTCCTCTCGCCGAAACCAGTCCTAAAGAGGGACCCCGCACCCCTACTTAAAATAATCATACCTCGTTGCCATAGTCACCGCCACAGCTCCAGACCAATATCTGGCAGAGTACCAGGAGCTGGAAGTGCAAGCGACTAAACTGAATTATAAATGGTTTACTTCGTGATCGAACTTCGAACTTTACTCGTTTGGCCATTGTGATGCATATTGCTTTTACAATTATTTTCATTACCATTGTCATCGGAAAGAAATGAATTCAGCCTTTTATCCGGGATCATGTTAGCCTTATATATAAATACGATGCGACATCATTTTTGTTGTTGTTGCTGAAATATAAATTCTGTAAGACTATTTGATCAAAAAATATTATTTGTAGCTTCTAAGAGATGAAGAGGAATGGTCAGTTTTAGCTTCGTATTACTTGAAAACTGTTGTAATGTGGATGATTGTTGAAAACTCTGGAACACAAGACTTCTGGAAAGAAAATAAAATTGTGGATAGGTTTCTTCAAGTAATATATTTCCCTTAACTATTACATTGACATTTTATTTACGGTCGAGAAGAAATTAGGGTAATATGGCGATAAGTCGCACTTTTCTTTAAAGGTGACATTTTTATATCAAGCTAATTAGCATTGTCTCAAGCTAGATGCTGAAATTTCCGTTATTTTTACAAAATAGCAGCAAAATAAAAAATAAATAATACCTGCATAGAAATCGTGTTATCCAGCAAGAAAAGCTCTAAGAATGTGGCTTATCATTATATTGCCCAAAACTTTTCAATTTTAATGAAATATTTACCTTTACAAAATTACCAAACTCCTGTTGTTGTTGATCATATTAGGTGCAACTGTTAATTTTCACTACTGATCTAATTATCTCCTTAAAATGTTATTTGACAACTCAAACATGCTCATTTAATAAGTTTCGAAGTATTATTTACCTGGTGTAATGCACTTCCGCATTCGGCTGTAAAAGTTTCAGGGACAACTTTTAAAGCCCCTCTTCAATTTTGACGTTTTTAAGATCTTTGTCATCCTGTAGGTTTCGCTTCTTTAGTAAAATTTTTCAGTTTAGGAAACAAAAAAGTCTGCTGGGGATTTTTCTGAAGATTATGGTGAATGATTCAACTCCGTCAGTGGTGGGTAGTACTGCACTACAAGTTAAAAAAACTACAATAATTACTGCTATTTTTTTTCGTAGTATTTAGCTTTATTAGTATTAGTTCATTTGAAAAAGACTAAGCATGAAGCTTGTATTTAGTTATATACAGGATAATAAAAGTTTAATTTATGTGTGTTTGTAATCAATAAAAATGTTTAGGTCTAATTAAAACTATCTGTTATTAACTAGTGCAGATGATGTTTTAGGTTATGAAATTCAGCAGAAAAATGAACTCTATCTGGAAAATACAGTCCAAATAATTTTAGGAATAAGATCAGCCAAACACTTGTACCCCTTATGTTAATTTCACTAATTTATTTCTTATTTAATTTATTAACATTCAATTTATGCTTATTTGTTTGTTTTATTCTAGGCACTTAAAAAGCTGGCCAAGTATGTTGAACGAAGGAAAATTCCATACATATTCAATAGGAACTGCAACTTGATTGAAAAGATCAGCGATCAGGAAGCTTATGATATCAGCAATAGGCTGAATTATTTCATTCGAAAAATAAATCAAGATATAAACAACCTTGAAAGAATATTTTGAAAATATTTATTGGCTTCTTCAAAAATCCCAAAATACACCCAACAAAAATATTGCCATATTGTATACAAAAATATTGCCATATTATATACAGAAATGTTGCCATATTATTTAAAAATATATACAAAACTAAGCCAAATAAAGGGATTTTGTTCTTTGCCACTACATGCATCGGAGGTTTGTGAATTTCTAGTGCAAATATATTAAAAAATTTGATGCGATCATTTTAATATAATAATTTTCTAGCAAAAATTTTAGGCTGTAGGAATTAATCATTTTTATAAATACATGGTGTCTCATTACGACCGACCTTATTATATAGTTTAATCATAAATTAAATTATGTGTATCTAAAAAATTTCTACGCAAGAGGACGTAATATTTAGGCGAAGGAAAAACAAAATCTCTACGCGAGAGGACGTAATATTCATGCCAAAGAAAAACAAAATCTCTACGCTTGAGGACGTAATATTCAGGCGAAAGAAAACCAAAATCTCTACGCTTGAGGACGTAATATTCAGGCGAAAGCAAAACTAAATCTCTGCGCGAGAGGACGTAATATTTAGGCGAAAGAAAAACAAAATCTATACAGTTGCTAATAAATAGTGGTTTGATTGCATAAATCATTTTTAGTAATCATCGTTCAAAATCCTCTCTGTTTTCTATGGTGATCGAAATTGGTTTGATGTTTCTAATACCACCTTTGTAGACAGCGATTTGTGAGCTTTTGATGACTTTTTTTCCCTTGTAAAATTTTTTATTTGCGATCACTAATGTTTATATTCTTCATTTGCTTATTCATTTTGCCAATAATTCTAAAAAAATGTATATTAAGGACAGCCAATACTTAACATTCTGCATATTTATATGAAAAATTTTACAGTTTTTAACATAATAATTTACGAAATAGTACAAATGAGCAAGCTGAATTTATATTTTTCTGTCTAGAATTATAGCATATTTAAATTTTGAAAATAAGCTTTTATCTATCTATCTCTCTCTCTCTCTCTCTCTCTCTCTCTCTCTCTCTCTATCTCTCTATCTATCTATCTATCTATCTATCTATCTATCTCTCTATCNATATATATGTATATATATATGTATATATATATGTATATATATATGTATATATATATGTATATATATATGTATATATATATGTATATATATATGTATATATATATGTATATATATATGTATATATATATGTATATATATATGTATATATATATGTATATATATATGTATATATATATGTATATATATATGTATATATATATGTATATATATATGTATATATATATGTATATATATATGTATATATATATGTATATATATATGTATATATATATGTATATATATATGTATATATATATATATATATATATATAATTGTATTAAAAGAACTTCTTACTTCTTCAATTCACAAATATCTGATTGCTAATTAAATTATACATTTATTCAGAAAAGCCATTTGTTTTAATTTTTTCGACTGAAATTTTAATATACATACGTGATTCATTATTCAAAATTTATAGCATAATCAATGTTTTATTTTAGAAAAATTATTAGCTTTTATAAATTATATCTTTTAATTCATTTAAAAAAAAGTCATTGGGCCATTTCTTGTATGTTTTTAAGTATGCTATATACTTTTTTTTGATTAACGATGGTAAATATTAATTTAAAAATTGGCCAAATTTATTGATATTTCAATGTTATTAAAATTTCCAATTTTTTATATTAATAAGCAAAAATTTAATATTAAGTTTTTTTTTTCAAAGAATGCAATCTAACTACTTAAAAAGCAAGCATACTCTTTTTTAGCTGTCTGGGGAGAAATTTAGTATAAGCATCTCTCTTTATGAATTCATGTTGCAGTATTATTTTATCTTTAACATATTATTTTTAACATATTATCACATGTTAAGTATTACTTGTCGATACGAATATAAAAAAGAGATACACGAAATATATGTTTTTTTAATTAAATAATAATGCTTATTTTAATTGCTTATTTTTTTCAAAATTAGTGCTCTTTTACTTAAAGTTTGTTGACCTGGATATTTATATTTTTAATAAAAAAGGTTTATGAAAGTAAGCCTGGTTTTTAAAAAAAAGTTTTGAAATCATGGATTTTTAAAAATTGTTTGTATTTTTGCTTTTTATATGAATCAAGTTTTAATTCAATATTTTAAGAAACATTTTAAGAAAATTTTCCTTTTGAATGAAACTTAAATTCTTCTTCTATTTGCCAATTATTTCAATAATTCGAAATTTAATTGGTTAAAGATTAAAATATTGCTTGTTAATTATGCATAAAATTTGTCATTGATTTTTATGATACTGTTGCATTTGTGTAAAAGAAAGAAAATTACTGTACTCTCTCTAAGTACATCCATATTTTAATTAAAAAATAAGTATTGTTTGTTCTTTCCACAATCATGTAACTGTATAACATTATTATTAAAACTTTAAATCTATTATAATTACCTTTTTTGTGTATCAAATTTCATGCTTTTCTTATTTAAATTCAAAATGATATATCTTATTGAAACAAAGCACATTTGACATTTAATATTTATAACTAAACTTTGAAGTACAAGGTCTACAACAAATTAAAAAATTTACATTTTAAATTCAATTTTCTTTAATTTTGAAACTTTTATTTAATTATATAGTAAACGTTAAGTAATTTACGCCAAGAGCATCCCGGATATGCGCTACGGCAGTGTCCGTGGATTTTATTGAAACTAAATTTAAATTCCTAGGTTTATACCCCAAATTAAAAATATTTGTGTTCCATTAAAATTTTATTTATTTTAAGAAAAAGGGCCCCCGAAGGTAGGGACATAAATTTTTTAATGTTTGTAATGTATCATTGTCTCCGACTATCCCTAGATGGAACCGCCTCATTGCAAAGAAACAAGCACAGGATTCTTATTGATTTAACGTTCTAGTAAGTTAAAATGTTGAATCACTTTAAATTTATTTTTTAGTGTAACTGTATTTAATTTTGAAGGCATGTTTAAATACAATTAAATTAAAATTAATAAATCAGAGAAATCTAAAATATAAACAATCAATGCCCCCCCCCCCAGCGGGCCGCGGTAAAATTATCAAACGTTGACAGGTCCGTGGTGATAAAAAGGTTGGGGTACACTGCTCTATGGGATTCAAGTCTGGAGAACTGGCTGGTCACTAGCCACTACATTCCTGAATATCTTACTTGCAATTGTAGGGTATTCCAATAAACTCATAAAATTGTCCGCCACCTCGCCCAATGCGGTAAAATCGTAAATTTGGCGATTAAAATTGTATTTTGGCAAAAGCATTGGCGAATGATTTTTTTCAACTGGAAAGGAAATAGTATATATTTTACTCGATCCTCTAAATTACGTCAAAATGAATTTTTTTTTAACAAATCCGTATTTTTTGTTCGATTGCAGTAATTTTCGGTAGATGCGCGGTAGAATTAGAATTGGGTCCAAATAATATAAGCCTGAGTAAATACTTGAATGCAAAAGGGAAACTTGTATGACAATTGTGATTATTATATAAGGAAATGTGTTTTATTAATCTGAAAAATTTTATATCAAACTGTAAATCTCTATTATTATCTAAGCAAAGAAGCATGTTTAGTGTTTTTATTGAGTGCACAGTATATTTTACAAATAGGCATATCCCACCCCCTAAAAAAACCTTAATGCTAAATTAATAAAATAAATAAAACTAAGGAACTTTAAATGCATTAATTATGAATGAACTAAAATGATAAGAATCTGTATAATTCAATTTCATAAATGATATTCATAACGTATAATTTATAAGGCATCAATTTCATAATGTATAATTTTAATTTTATAAGTAAAAAAAATCATTAATTTGACATTGTTTCTAAAAAACAAGGATTTCATAATCTATAAACAAATCTTCCGAAAATATCAACTAAAATCTTTAAAAATAAATAAATAATTTAATAAATATTCTTTAAAAGTGTTTAACCATTTACGGAACAACGAATTTTATTCAGGTAACACATTCGCAACTGCAATCGCAGGCAGTGTGTTCTGGGTAGAACTGGGCTATAAATCGATATATCGCGACATATCGATTTAACGCCTGTATCGGCCTGCCGATACAGACGTTAAATCGATCGTTCCAGGCGATGCATCAGAAATCTGATTTAAGCCGTCGAGTAAAGAAGACGAGCGATATACGATATAGCGATACAAGATACGCAAGGATTTCTTACGTTCCGATGCCAACTCGCGCTGGAGAAGACGATGTTCGTATCGTTATATTGAAACAGCCTTGATTGATGAGCGGTAGAATCAGAATCAGTTTTGAGAACATATATCGTGATCTCGCATGTTCGTTTCCGCACCTCTTAGTGTTTTTTTTTCTTCTTTGTCGCGACTTGATATCGTTTCTTGTAGATTATTTTCAGTGGAACTGACTTCGTTACCTTGTTCTGAACGTAATCTATTATTGAAAAGAATATATAAAGAAGTGTTTCTTAAGTGTAGAAGTCTTAATTAATTAAGTAAATTTTTTTTTAAACAAAACTTTCTTTTTTATTTTTAAATGTAAAAATTAATCTTGATATTATATGTTTAAGTATTATTTTACATTATTGAATTTATTACAAACGGAAATCTAATTTAAGGTGCCGATAAAGAATTAAATTAAAAAGTAATAAAAATTGTTAGACTATTTTTTACTTTATTTTAATTTATTAAAAACTTTTCGTATAAAATAATAATTTAATGGCTTTTTATTACTGATTTTAAATTTATAAATCTTAATTTGTTTTCATTTTTATAAATAAAATTGTAACAAAACTTATTTTTCCTCTTTTGGATTTGGACATAAGTCAATCAACTTTATTTATTCAAAAAAATTAGTAATGTTAGCTATTGCGCCTTCTTTTTTTAAAAATCATTTAGCACTTCGTTTTATTAAAGAGTATAATCGTGTTTTTTAAGTTTCGTTCAATATTGACGGTTGAATATATTATCGAATATCATAATTTTTTTGTTTTTATTTTTAAGAAATTAAACCTTACTTTGTTTTTTCGTTCAGAATTCGGTAATTATTCAATTTAACTTTATTATTTATGTGAAATAATAATGATAAAAAATAGTGTTGTTTTAAAAGAGTTTTTTTTTTAAATTTATTTAGCACTTTGTTTTAAGCATACAAATAATTTTTAACGAACTTATTTTTTAAATTTTCTTTCTATATTGTTAGGTAAATATATTGATAAATTTCAATTTTATTTATTTTTTTATTATTTATTTTTAAACTAAGAAATCTTTCGTTATTTGCGCGATCATTTTTAGAAAATATAACATTAATATCTTTCTTAAGCAAAACATATACATCAAATTCATAAATTGATTTAAATCAATCTGAGTATGAAGTTTTGATAGAAATCCGACTTTCTGCGCTTTACAAGTAAATGAATTTCAAAAATACTATATCGCGATACATCGCTAAATCGCGATGCAAAACTAACGATGCATCACGATATTAAAATTTCTTATATCGCCCAGTCCTAGTTCTGGGCAAGCTTTTATTTCTTTGTTGCTTAAAGAATAGTGGTCCCTAAAATTTGCGGAGAGTTTAAAAGCAAATAGTTTTACATTTCAAGTGATTTGTTACATTTTTTTAATTAAGTGTTGTAAACTGGCAACACTATGTTGGAAAGAGTAAAAAAAAAAAGAAAGAATCTTGCTTTGTATTCATGAAACATTATATAAGTGTTCCAATGTACCTTACACCTTTTTTATTGTTCATTAAACTAAAAAGAACTAGTCAACAATAAATGAATCGGTACCTGGATTTAATTTTTTTTATATATTTTTGTAATAACAACAAAAATAACCTTTTTTTTATTAAAACAATTTTTGCTTTGAAAATGGCAATGAAACTTTTTGGGGGTTTCTAGTCATTTTGGATGTATGAAAATTAAATAAAAAATGCATGTTACGTACATTCTTTATTATACTTAAAGGAGAAATTTTAATAAGAGCCATACAAGAAGCTCACGATTGTTCTTAGAATCATTTTTATGATAATCCTTGAAGTTAAGATTAAATTTAATTAGTTATATAGAAAAAATAGTTAAAATTAATTAGTAGTAATATTATTGAATTTTTTTGTTTCTCGTTTTAAATAGTTAAGTAGATAAATGAGGGAAAGTAAGTGAGAAATATGATTTAATAATTATTGAGGTTTTCCAGTAAGAAACAAAATCGTCAATTTTCTACAAATAATGAAATCTGTAACAAAATAAGAAGTTTTATTTTTCAAAATAATCTGAAATAAATTTTTATTTACTTAAGAAAAAAAAATATTTTAAGATTTTCTAACACTTAAATGATAGTACTAAATAAATAATGCTTAGAGATCTAAGTGGTAAAATATTACTTGATTGAAAAATTTGATTCATTTAAAAATATACAGATTGTAAATAAACGCAACATATTTCTAGCCCTCAAAATGGGCTCCTATTTTTGATCGTTTGTAGCATGTCGACTGTTGTCTCCATTTTGTATATTTTTAAAGCGAATGAAGTTTTTCAGTAAAGTAATACTTAAATTAGTAATTGTTTATTAACTTAAGAGTTTTTTTTAAACAGTTTCTCGCATGCATATTATTAATCCTTTTAAATTTTTTCTTTTCGTTTGTGGTCTGTCTTTGTTTCACAAAAAAGGTTTCCACTTTCTTGGTTTTAATTATTTATACAAATATTCATGTATGATCGTTTAATATAAAATGAAAACTTAATCATATTATTAATAAATTACTTAATAACATCTACTAAGAAGTTTTTTTTTAAATTTTTTGCTTGTCATTTTTTTTACGTAAAAGAAGATTTCAATGATTTTTAAAGCTTTAATTATACATGCAGAAAATAAATTAATTCTGATGGTATACTATAAAATGTAGTGTTATTAATAAACTAGTAAATCACATTATTAAATGTTTATTTTTTTAATTGTAGTCTGTGGTAGTTTCACAATAAAGGAATTTAAACTATATTTCATTACAGTGCACGTAAAGAGATAATAATTGTGAATTCATTTAGAAAAAAAAAATTACAAAATAACAAAAATACAATTTCTTTTCCCATACTATTTTTTTAATCAGTTTTCGTAACCCTAATTATTACAGAAAATTAGAATAATATCAAAAAAGTTATAATAATGTAATTCTGATTCAGAAAATCCTCATTTTGGAATTATTAAAAAAAAAAAAAACAGTTCAGAAACATTAAATATAAATATTGCTGTATGAAGGAACGTTCTAGTTTATTCCACTCATAAATTTTCAAGGATAGACATCTTCGTCAGCAATACGTAAGCCACGCCACCAGAAACTGAAACTGAAAAGGGAAAGATACCGAACAGAAACTTTTAGCTGGTTGTTACTCTCTTCTGCATTTTTACTCTAGATTGATTGAATGCTGAACGATATTCTACTTAAGAGTAGACAACACAAATAGTCGATACAATTTTCCAAAAAGTAAGTCTTTAAATTTTTATATATTTTATGTTTGTTTAAAAAAAGATAGGGGATTATTGGAAATAAAAGATGAAAAAAAACTTAATCTTATTGCTAGCAAACGATTATTCGTGACCTCACTTAGGGCATACCCCATTTTTTTGTGAAAAGTATGATTTAAAAGAAAAATTATTAAAAACTTCTACCAACTTTAATTTTTTCAGCCCTCGTGAAATGGTATTTGCCTAAGGTTTCAAGTAATTGTATTTTTTTTAATAAGGTTTCAAGTAATAGTATTTTTTATAAGGTTTCATGAAATAGTATTTTTTTTAATAGGGTTTCAAGTGATAGTATTTTTTGTAAGGTTACAAGATATAGTATTTTCTTAATAAGGTTTCAAATAATGTCATCTTTTAAAAGGTTTCCAAGAAATAGTATTTTTTTTAATAATGTTTCAAGTTATAGCATTTTTTTATAAAGTTGCAAGAAATAGTATTTTTTTATAAGGTTTCAAGTAATAGTATTTTTTCAATAAGGTTTCAAATAATAGTATTTTTTATAAGGTTTCAAGTAATGGTAGTTTTTTTTATAAGGTTACAAGAAATCGTATTTTTAATAAGGTCTCAAGTAATAGTATTTTATAAGATTTCAACCAACAGTACTTTTTATAAGGATACAAGCAATATTTTTTAGAAAAAAAAGTTTCATAGGGCCACAGGAGTGGGATCTTGCGTTGATGTTGTTGGTATTAACCGTAATTTTTCCATTTTTAATTATTGAGGTATTTTTCTCCGAAATTTTATTTTATTATGAAATGTTATTTTCACATTTTGATTTTTAACTAATTTATTCGTGCATGAATGTTACATCTAGCTAAGGGTTCAATATTTATTCATGTTTTACCTGAACCCACGTATGCTTCGCGATTTTTGGAAATAACCATTTCTTTTAAAAAGAAAAAAAAAAGTGGTAGCACAAGTGTTTCAACATTAGGATCAGCTGAGCCAAGATAGCTCTGTCACGTTATCGGTTGCGCCGACTTCAATCGCTAAAGCGCCAATTGTTTAAACTTTCAATTTAAACGAAACACATGTTGAAATGAACTCGGGAGATATAAAGCAAATTTTTAGAATGTCGTAATTTTACAATTTGATAGGAACTCGAGCCATTAAAATTGAGCCCTAACACGTGAAAATCCGGTTTTAGGGGCAGTGCCGGATTACCCATTAGGCCAGACTAGGCCATGATCTGGGGCCCCCAATGATTTGAGGCTCCCTTAAAATGGTTTTTTGAAAATAAATTTAAAAAAATAAATTTCAAATATATATTAATAAAATACGATAATTTTTTTTATATAATGTTAATTTTATTTATTACTTATTAAAATTTAATTTATTATTATTTATTTTAATTTTAAATATGCTTTCTTAAATGAAAAGATATATAAATACTTTTTTATTTGAATAAGTAAAAAATATACGAAAAAAAAATTAATCTAAGGGTCCCTAATTTTTGAATGGCCTAGGGCCCTGCTTACGCTTAATGCGGCTCTGTTTAGGGGATAAAAATATTGTGCAGAGTATTCACTTTCTTTCCTTGGCGCACTGTACTTAATTTTTGATATTTTTCAATGTCACCGCGATTGTTTAGTCATCGGATGTTTTTTCTCAAGCGATGTTTTGACACGTGATCCAATAGTTCTGATATAATTCTATATCCGATTTTTTTTCCGAAAGACAAATAAAGCGCACGACTTTAAATGAGCAACACTTCCGGCATCTTCCAAGGTGAAGAACGAAAGTTCAGTACCTGCCGTTCGAAAAAATAAATAAATAAATAAATAAAAGCATTCCCACGAGACATTGCAGAATCAGTTGACTGAAAAAAAAATTCCATATTGTGAAATAAAAAAATATTTGAAAAATTAACATTAAAAATTATGATTTTTGGGAAAGTGTAGCACATGGATTTTCGAGAAAATGTAGCCTTGTTAAATTTTTGACCAAAACGAAGACAATTTTTTTCCAACAATTGCTATTCAAATCTTTTTTGGTGAAGTATGCAAAATCGCAATGAAATCGGTGCAAGCCGTGATGGCTCAGGGGATAGAGCGTTCACCCTCCAATAAGGTCAACCGGGTTCGAATCAAAGCGATGGCCGGTCGATACGAATTCCGCATCCGGCTTGCACCGGCCGCAGTACTGACGCAAAATATCCTCAGTGATGGACGGATCATGGGTTAGAGTCCGGATTAGTTTCATCAAAAGTCCGCCACGAAGGCAAATTTCTCCCTATACTTGATCCAAGAGAACCTTTATCTTCGTGATTGGGTTCGAAATTACAAGGCTACGGAGTTGAACATTAGTAGTGAATTATTTTCTGACTATTGTAATTATTTTCTGAGTTAAAAACATCCTATATTTTCCTTGTGAAATTGTTTCCTTTTATTAACTTTGCACCCCTACTGAAGATGCGACATCAATATCTCTTCTGATTGTTACTGTTTATTTTCGTTGTAATGTTTGTTCGCATTTAGTTTATTTCTAAGTAGCACTGTTTTCTGGATTTCATATTTAATATTCTACCTATTTGTTAAAACTCTAATTTGAAAATTTTGAATATGTTTGCTCATGTAATTGAACTGTTACGCTCACTTCGAACTTTCGGAGTGCCCCCGGATGCCCCCTTTTGGGTCAGCTGTTCAACAACGGTTATAAAATATAAAATAAAATGAAATCGGCGCATAAGTAATTCAGGGTGCGTAGCGTTTCCAAAAAGTACTTGAAGGTGCTTATTTTTGATTTACGTATTTTTAAAAGCTCTTGCAGGTGCTTTTTTATTCGGGGTTTGTAAAAAGTGTTTAATTTTCTATCTGTTAAAAAAGAGATTTTTACTTTGCTGTGTCGATTGTCGTTCTAAATTACAAAAATTGCACGATTTTCATAATTTCCTCTGCAATATTTATCAGAATCTACTTATTTTATCATGATTATGTAACGTTTTTAAAAATGTTTTTGAATTTTATTGATTACATGTTTATAAATTAAGAACTTTAAACGATAAAAAAATTTTTTTGTTATTACTGCATAAATCCTAATTATGACTTTTTTTTTTGGAAAGTGATTAAAAACATTTTTAGAGTGCTTAAAAAGTACTTAAAAGGTGCTTATTTTTTGTCGAAAAATCTGGTTACGCACCCTGTAATTGAGAAATGTCTATCCTACTTTAAAAATACAGGTCAAATATCTCAATCCATCAGCAAAATTATATGTTTATGCATAGAAATTAAATTTTTGTATCTGATTTTCTAAACGTAATTTATTGTTAACACTTATTTTAAAGAATATAATTTTGTTACTTTTCAGAACGTGTAAATCTTATCTAAGTTGCTCAGTTATTTATTTCCTCACTCGTGAAAGAATGCAATTAATGATAATAAAAAAAATGTGGATAACAATAAAGCTACATACTATTTAAATCACTTTACTCATAAAGGGTAAATTCCCTATCTTTATTTGCGTTAAATTAAAGGGAAATTTCCCTGATTTCTATTGATTAAATTAATATTAATCATGTCACGCTATCAAGTAACCGATAATTTAAGAGTCGTCGAGGTTTCCAAAATAAAACATTTGAATCGGAACTAATTTCTGACAATTGTTTCTTTCCTTTGGAAAAAGAGAGATATTAAATCTTCGGTATGTAAAATTATTTCATTTTTTCTTTCAAAGATATCTTTCTCAATTATTTTAGTTTCGCTTTTTGAAAACAAATTAGTAAAATGTTTTGATATTTTGTTTTTAGTAGTTTCTTAATATAAGTTGCTTATTATTAAAATGTATTATTCAATTCCTACTATTAGTTAACACTCTCCCTATATCTTGTTCAAATTTTCAATCGTTAATAAAATACTTTTTATTCAACCACTCAAGTTCAAATATTTTTTTTAAAATTTGTAGTGGATGACACTTGATATTTGTTATAAAATTTACTGGCTCGAAATTGGAATGTTATAATTTAAAGGATGGCCGAAACTAAAAAAAAGTGAGCAATAACCCTTAAAAATAAAAAAACATAGAAGAAAACACACTAGAAATCAAGATGTCTTTGTAATGATTTTTCACATACCTGTTGCAGGTGGGAGACGTCACACAATTTGGCTTAGCTGCAATAATTTAAAGAAAAACACAAGGAAAAGTCCAGAGTTCATTTTTTTTGTTGTAGTTTATTACTGCAGATCACTTCTTATCAANGCTTAGTCATTGTTTTAAATTTTGGTATAAGCGATTCAGTTCTTCACATATTTTAAAAATAACATCAGTGATCATTTCTAGCTTATAGCTCCATTTGAACAAAAAAATAGAATAAGGCGCACATTTAAATATTTAATTGGGTATAATATGAAAAAAACACAACTACTTCGATTTAGTAGGAACAACATATGACGCAATGCTAAACGAATGGAATTTAGTTGTTGTTTATTTAGTTATTGTTATTAGTAGTTGTTGTTATTTGTTTTAGTTGTTGTTGTTTATTTAGTTGTATTTAGTTTCAATAACTTTTCTTTATAATGCAATAAAATCTGGCGAGCAGCTATTTAAACGATCGAACACTTCGTTTGTTTATTTGTGGCTTGAAGTTAGGCTCGCAGAAAATGCCGTTCATGGGTTAAATTTAGTAGGAACAACACAACCTGTGACGTAGGCTATATTATACCCAATTGTTTTATATTCGCTGTGTCAGATAGATTTAGAGCCCCTGTATTAGACAAAACTCAAAGACATTTTCAAATACATCAAGTTCAAATACATTTTTTTAAACTTGTAATTTTTCACTTGATGTTAATACGGTTTTTTCAAATATTAATTCGTTAATTAAATTTAATTAATTAATTTTAGTTTTATATGAGAGAAAAAATTGTAATTATTTCATAAAAAGTAACTGAAATAAAACTTTTCTTTGTTTACCTAAGTAAAAATTGATTTAAATTTTTTTTTTCTATATTACTTGTAATCAACATGGATGTTTTATAATATACGAAATATTTTAACTGTCAGAAAAACTACAAACGTTCTTTTAGCTGCTAGGATGCTCTAAATGTTCGGTTTCTGTTCNACCTATATGGGCTTTTAGGCATTACCAACTACCATTTTGCTCCAATTTTAAGTGCCTATTTCAAGCTTTTTAAATGCCTTTTTGCCTGCCTATTTTTGCATTTTTTATTGCCTGAAATTCCGGGCTTTAGTAATAACTGATGAACCTGTGAAATCAGGTTATAGAGAATGTTTTTCCGCTTATAGCATAGGTTATTTTTTCTACACATCAAGCAAATTGACTTATTTCTGGTATAAAATATTTCAGCCAATTTTAACTAAAAGTATTACCGAATCATATATGAGATTGATTTTATGAGGTGTAAATAAGGTTGAAATTTTGGTTTATGGAAGAGGTTATTTTTGGTGCAAAACACAACCTCATTTTCTACCATAGGTATATATTTTTTTTTAAACCTATCAACCTTAAAAGGTTCCGCAATGGAATGATCACAAAGACATGGTTCCCAGTAAAACACCGAAGTCAAGCATCACTGGCTGCGGTCAGTAAGCGGGTGGGTGACCACTTTGACCAGCCTACGACCGAGGGTGCGTGGTATTGGTCCTCGTTAAACTGTTCTACCGTAAAGTGCTCGACTTCGAGCGCATGTTATCGTGTTACCAAAGCGGGGAGTCATCCCCTCTGTAGAGGATCAAATTTGCGATAGCATGTCTTCGGACCATTCTCAGGGATGTTTTCCAAACCGTCGCCAATAGCCCATAGTGCAGCTCTAGTGCGACGTAAATTAAGTATCTACCTACATACCCAACTTACATACCAAAAATACCTTATTATATTTGTAATTTTTTTTTTGTAAGGGAATAATTTTTAATGCCGTGAATTTTTTTTTTTATATTTAGTATTATTTATTATTCTTTTGCTATTTCGGTAATTAATTTTGAAACAAGACATAAAAATAAGAAATTTTGTGTTACACAATTAATCAACACAATTGCATATAATTGAATATTTGAATTGCATATAATTGAATATTGAATATAATTGAATATAATAAATTTATATTGTGTCCACGCCGACCAGCTTGTGTAGGGGTCAGGGAACTGCCCTTCCATTAGAAAGTTTCTGGGTTCGAATCCCGGGCAAGGCATGGATGTTCTTTCATTCTCTGCACTATCTGTCCTTACTGTGGGAGCAACGTTAACTCACCTAATATGGTTCCCCTGAAAGAATGGTCAACAAATCTGCTCTTCAGATGCCTATATGACCTAGGTCATTCTCCTGGTGGGCATTGGAGAAAAAAAAAATATTGTGTCCACTCTCATTTATTGAAACTTCAAAAACGGAATATGCTTGTTCAAATAAATTACGCTTTTGAGTTATTTTTACACAATTTAGATTATTATGTGCTCTAATTATTTAACGTATTCGAAGTGTGTGCTCAAAATCACTATTTGTTTAATAAATCATTGTTATTGTCTTATCAGTTGTTAAATAACCTTTAAAATTCTTGTTTTTTTTATTTTAAGGTGAATTATACGCTGCTTGTAAAACATGTGGAATCCAGACAGTGGTATTTTCATCCTAAATGAAATACTAGGAAAAGTCAAGTTAGATGAGGGGCTCGTAAAAGAGAATAATAAAGTTCTACGTGACTTTTTGGATACTTTCGTTCCCAAAATGAAGGAAGTTGATAAAGTGTTTGATTGGTTGTATAGAGAACCCTACTACACAGGAAGTTTTTATTCAGATCTTCGAATTTCTCAACCTGATGAATTTGATATTAACTTAATAATAGATATGCCTTTTAAAAACGGTGAATTTTCGGTAAGGCTCAATATAATATTCTAAATGTTAAAATTTATTTTTCTTCTGCCATTCGTAATTTTTATTGAGGAACCCAAGTATTAAGACGCCGACCGGCCTGTGTAGGGGGCTGGGAACTGTCCTTTCATTAGAAAAGTCCTGGGTTCGAATCCCGGGCCAGGCATGGATGTTTCTTTCTCTCTCTGTGTGTTCTATGTCCTTTCTCCTTTGTGTGTGAATGTGACCCGCCCTATGAATGGGTTGTGGTTGTGTGAATGGCGTATCAGAAGTCGAATTCCTGGCCATAGATGGCGCCACTGAAAAACAGGAACAATCGCACCCCCACTGCCTAAACAGGCATAAGACAAAAAAAAGTGCTAAGACTGTTTTTTTTTTTTGGAAAGTGAAAATATACCATTAATAATGCTAAGCAACGTGAAAAAAGCATAAATATTATCACATAGAAAAGCAGGCATACTATAGCTTCTGTTCCTTCATCAGTTCGGAAGACATTGAAAGAGGCGGAAAACGAGAAAAGCAGGAGAAAATTACGAACGAGTTTCAACAAACAAGAATAGGGGCTAGGAAACCATCTATTAAATAGTGCTTTTAAATTTCCAAAAAAAGAGATGAGAATTTCACTTTAGTCAAGTTGTAGTTTGTGAACACGTTTATCTTACCTTCAAAATCATAAATCAGAAAAAAAAGAAGAAAAAAAACTCGCGGCGTAATCTGAAATAACTTTTCCATCATATTAAAAATTGCCATGACAGTTTATTGTACTGGGCATGGGATTTCCCTACAATCAGGCACAGTTACATCTGAGCATCTCGTACTGTTTAAGAAAAGATGAGGAAAAAAAATACGAACATAGAAATTCTTTTAACCTTATTTAAATAAAAACGAGAAACTTTTTCTGTTAAGTAGGAATTTTCTTCTTTAACTCTAAATTACAGTGCTTCTTTATGTATAGATAGTTATACCTATGTAAGGATTAACGAATTCAAATACCTTGGCACTGTTGTTAACGACACTTAGAGCAGAAATGAACAATCGAGTCAAAATAGCTTTTAAGTGTTTCTTTGGACTGAGGAGACAATTACGATCGAATCTTCTCATCCGAAAAACAAAATTAAAACTCTATAAGACACCCACACTTTCTGTTCTGCTTTGTGGAATCGAAACTTGTTCCCTGAATTCAGATATACAGCGGTCACTGGACACCTTCGAAAGAAAGATCCTCTGAGCCATCCTTTGGCGGAATTAAAGAAAGGGGATGCTGGTTAACCAGATATAACTTCAAGCTCTACCGATTCTATAAGCAGCCCCAAATTATTCGAATAATCGGCAGTAATAGGCTGATATGGCTGGGCCATCTATGGAGAAGCCCTGAAAATCTATGTTTCCATGTTATTTTTATATGTTATTATATTGTGTTATTTTTCCATGAGAATCGTCACCTTTAAGAACCCCGAGGGGTCACGTCCCAGAATTAGACCCCCTAATAGATGGCTCAACGACATCGAAAATGACATGAAAACCCGAAAGATCAGAATTTGGAAGGGTGTTACCTTGGATAGCAGCCGCTGGCGTGTGTCAGCTGTTGAGGCAGCTAAGGCCTTCAAGGAGCTGTTGCGCTGACAAAGATAATTAATTAAATCATTAATTTTGTGTTATCTATAAAAGTGATTTATAGTCTCGCCAATTGTCTGTCCATTTCAAGTAAGTATATTTGCTTTTGTTTATGTATGATTCAATCAAATTGTGAATTTTATTCAGCAAAATGGGACTTCATCCCAAAAATGTATGTTTGTGGAGCCCCTGCTTTTACTTTGATTTTGTTGAAGATTGACCTAGTAGCAGACGATTATTCTCAGCAAAGAACATAATTTAAATTGCTGCTGAAAATTAACGAGTATTATTTAATCAGGTTGGCAAAAGCGCGAAATTAAAAAAGGACATATTGTATTGGTGGTTCACGTTTTCTCGTTTTTTGAAAGAATTCAGGAATTTTTTTTCTTCCTTTTAGTTGAAGTTCTTTTTTGTGTTTTTTCTCACAAGGTGAGATTTTTTCGTTTAAATAAAATAAAATTTTATTTGTTTTTTGTTTCGCAATATTTTTTCTTTGCTACATTTATGTTATTTTATTTAGTAGGGGAGAGTGGGGTCAATTGTAACATTTTTTACTTAACTATTTTTAACTAACAAAAAATCCAATATATTATTAGTATTAATTGACAGACGAATAAAGTAGACTATTCTCTACTAGAAAATAAATATATACCTTATTCTAAATGTTATTATATTAGTTATTAACAATTTTTGACAGTCGTGCAGTTGTTACAATTGTCCCCACTTACGGGGTCAATTGTAACAGTTCATAAATTCAACTAAAACATAGTCAATTATACATATTATCATAGTTGTGATATATTTTTTTATTGATCAAAATAGTAGTGATATTTTAGGAGTAAAAATAATAATGAGCAGAGACCTAAAGGGTTAAACTTTTAACTTTAAGGGGTTAAAAATTTTAATTTATGCTGTGAAAGGTGACAAATAAAATAATGCACATGCAACATAATATAAATGATATAGGAAACTATTGGTGGTTCTTAAAGAGTTAAGTAATGGTTTGTAAACATAAGATTATTTATTTTCAGCTGTTACAATCGTCCCTTTACTTATTGTTACAATCGTCCCCAAGACGCCATTTCAGCTTCATTTGTTAAAAACAATGCTAGTTAATTAACAAAACTAATTTTCTTTTACTGAAATGTTAATTAAGGTGTTCACTTACATATTCGGTTAATAATTTTTATTTGTTTAAATAAAATTACTTTGTTACAATATAATATTCTAATACCAAAAAAAGTACTTGCGTAGCGTGAAAATATCTTTCGTGATGTAACTCTTTCAAAAGTACATAAAAATGGTTGCCAGCAGGTGTGTACATGTAGATTTATTAAATACACCTTGTGCGCCACCTAGGAATCAAATCTAGAACCCGACACTCGAAATTTTTGCTCTGTTACAATCGTACCCTGTTACAATTGACCCCACTCTCCCCTACTTAAGATAAAAGGTTTTTTTATTCTGGTAACTGCAACAGATTTCATTTCTTACAAGAATTTAAAAAAAAGGAATGTTATATATCAATAGCGATGATTACGGAACATCCTTTTTTAAAAAAAGTAAGAAATGAAAAGATGTAAACATTCTTTCAGATAACGTCTCAACTGAATGAGCCGAATTTTGTGAAGTATCAATCAGATGTACCTAAATCCGGACACGGCGGGACCGTTTTGTTTGAAAACAGTTATTTAATATCCGATCTGGCTCGAGCATGGTTTCAAAGCATCATAGACAGAGCTCTTGAATCATACAATAGACCAAGCACAATTAAAAGGGTAAGCTTTGTTTCTCCATTTATTCATTCATCAATTAATCAATCGTTCTATTAAAGTGAAACAACTCAATTTATCTATAGACAGAACCTGACTAAAGACCTGTTTACACGGTCCAAGTTCTTGAATCCGAGAAATTGGACGGATTTCTCTGTCCATGAAATTGGATGATTCGTCGACACTATCCAAGTTCTTGAATGTCACTGATTCGTTGAAAGAAAAACTTGCGCATTGTTCATATTCAACATTATAAAATAATACTTACATAAGTTTAAAATTACTAAATAAATTCAAATAAAATCATAATAACACAAATAAACCGCAACAGATCAATTTATTTGGACTAAAATATATGAAAACAGGCAACAAAATGACATAATTTTCTGACTGCTTGTTGGCGTCACAAAACCTAAGGCGTTGATTGGTTAAGGGAGAAAAAACTTGGATGGAAAGTAGAACATGCCCCACTATCACTACATTAAATATTTCATAAATTTGATGATATTTCTTTCTTTTGAGTGAATAATTTGTCCCTTTGGAGACATTTTGGTGGAATAACAGCTGTTTTTAAATTTAAAATATATTTAATTAGCCAGAGAGCAGATCATAACGAGAAGCAAGTGACTAAAAATAATTCACTGTTTGCGTTTGGCACGCGTTAAGGGTTGTCTCAATTTCAAGATATGTTCTTTCCCTCGCTGAAATGAGCTCTGCGTTCGAAGAGGTGGAGCCACGTGCCAACTCCTGGTGAACGAACTATATATATATATATATATATATATATATAGTTTTATCGACAGCATTTCGACATCTTCGTTCTCTTTAGGACAATGAAAACTTTTCGAATGTAATTTCTGATTGAAAACTTCATTCACATAAAAAATATACAATTACGAAACAACAGTCGACATGTTTCAAGCGCTGCAAAAATAAGCACCCATTTTCAAGACGTGAATGTAAAGAAACAAAAAGATATGTTTTGTTTCTTTACAGTCATGCCTGGCAAGTCTTGAAAATGGGCGAATATTTTTAAAGCGAAAGAAGTTTTCAATCATGTAATATCTTAATGCTTCAATTTCTTGGGATAATTTATTCAACATTCAAACATAAAATTCACGTCTCCCAAATAGATTTTTTATAGTCTTAAAATCCCTGAATGGGCTGCCAAAAAACGAAATTTTAATTTTCAAAGCGCTTTGGTGGGTTGAAACACCTAAAGATGAAAATTGATATAATTTTTTTTTAAAAAAAGGCTGATTACGCATCGTACTCAAAATTTATAAAAACTGATAAACTTCTACTTCCAATTTTACATAAAAAAGATTCCTTCACAAAAAGTTTTTCTCTGGAGTTGATGATGTTTTTTTATTTATAAATATATTAAAAGACAAGTTTTTTTGTTTTGTTTCGAAGAACATATTCACATTTGTTTTGCATTCATCAGAAATACTCACATTATTAGGAATAGTGCGGAAGAAATGAAAATTTAAAAATGAAATGTTTAAAAAATTAGAATTAGAATGAATGTTTAAAACTGAAAATTGATATAAAATTTTTTAAAAAAAAGTTGATATCTTTTTGTTTTGCATTGTACTCAAAATTTATAAAAACTGACAAAATTCTACTTCCAATTTTACATAAAAATGGTCCCTTTACAAAAATTTTCCCTGAAAAACCGAGTTGATGATGTTTTTAATTTATAATTATATTAAAAGACAAGTTTGTTTTGTTTTGTAAAACATATTTATATTTGTTTTGCATTAATGAGCAATATTTACATTATTAGGAACCTGGTCGAAGGAATCCTATTTTTCATATAAATAGGACCTTAATTTTTCAAAATTTTTAGCAGATTTTTCCCAGTTTGACAGAAACAGTACCGTCATAAACGGCCTGAAATAACGCCTGCACTAACCAGTTGATAATAAGTTCAGTTAATCTCATTTCGTGTTTGTATTAATTTACTTAACTTGCCTAAGTTCTTTACGTACTAAAAATGAATTATTAGCAAAACAATTATTCTCCTTTTCATTTACTGACTTCCTTGTTTCAATTTTGGTTCATACCTGTTTTAGTCCCTTTTTTAAAATCTTGAAATACGTATGGGAGTTCCGTTGCTTTTGTCTGATGCATAGGTTTAAACTATTTTTACAATTATTGCTATTTTTATAGGTATTGGTACGACAATCAGGTCCAGCCCGGACTTTAACTTTAGTGAAAAATAATAATGCAAAGATTGATGTCGACCTTGTTCCAGTCATTGGTTGTACTCTAAATATGTCTCGCATTAGCCTGGACAGAAGAGTCGAAGCCAAAGTTGGAAGAAATTTACAAGTAAAAAAAAAATGAAAAGAATACTGTAAATTTTATATTTTAACATACTTAGTGGTTTATCCAAATAAAAAGTGATAGCTTTAGAACTACAGGATTATGAAGGACAGTAAGAGGAGTGCATTGAAAACTATGTATAACTGAATAAGCAGTTCACATGACAGTATTTATGGTGAATGTAAAGTAGTGCTCGATAGATTGCGTCCAAAAAAATAGAAAATAGTGCGAATTTCAGTGGCAGTAGATGATTGAAATATTCTTTTATACTCTGACAGAGGGCTACACAGTCTTGACTTATTGATTATCACTAATCATTTTATCAACGGGAGAAATGAATTTAGCGAAGGGTTTTCTTTTGGTCTGTACTTTTTGTTAATAATACGGGCGTTTCAAGGTTACGCGATTTCCACTCTCTCTACACTTTTCTCCTCTCTATTACCATGTTTTCGGTAAATCCAACTTCTTATTAAAATGTAAAGCAAGATTTGCCGGAACCGCGGAAATGTAAAGGGAAAAGTGTGGGGGGTGAAGAAATCATTTAACTTTGAGTCTTGATTCTATTTACAAAGAGTAAAGGCATATCCGATATTGGTATACGCAACTCATGTAAATTATTTGGGAATAGCCGTTTTTTTTTATAACCGACGTTGAACAACCGACCCAATTTTTGGGTTTACGACTACTAATGTTCAACTCCGTAGCCTTGTAAATTTGAACCCAATCCAGAAGACAAGGGAACTTCTGGATCAAGTATTGGGAGAAATTTTGCCTTTGTGGAGGACTTTTTCATGGAACTAACCCACATTTGTGTTATATGGTGGGGAAGACCACGAGAACCTCCCTCGCTTAGCCTGATGGTAAGGGGACTCTAACCCATGATCCGTCTACCACTGAGGACGTCAGCACTGTGGTTAGTGCAAGCCGGATGCGGTATTCGTAGTCCTAGAAGGTGTTCGACCATTAGACGATAAACGTCCGCATTTCGTTCACCTTTTCTCATTAGAACTAGGCGTAGTTCTGGAAGCATCCTTGTTAGTTCAGCATTTCATTCACTTTCAATACTCTTATATGCGAATTAAAGTTACTCAATTAAAATAACTGCTCTTACTTTCATTTGAAATCCTGAATAGTGGCGTTGCTATCGTAAGTATATTTCAAATTCTATGACGCTAGTCTTCTTTTTATTTGGGATACCCATTTCGCTCTTGGTTAAATGAAATCTTTAACAATAATAATATCTCTCGCAATGACTTTGTTTGCATCTCGCTGTAAGCCTCCAAGTTTGCATCTGAAGCAATTTTAAAACCGATACTTATTTTTAAATATTCCATACAGACTTGTTGATAAGGTATTAAAGTATCAGATTCTGGACTTGGCAAAATCGGTACGGTTTTCTGTCCCTAATCATTTAGTCAAAATTCTCAATGCTTATTTAGTCAATTAATATAACTACTCTACACAGATGTTTTATTGAGAAAGGTTTCTATGATATATTAATGAAAATAGTGGTAGGAAAGCTACAATAAAAGCAGAGTATGTCATTTGTCTTTTGAGAGAAATCTTTACTAGCAATCAAGGCCGGATGGGGCCCTAGGCCATTAAATTTTTTGGGCCTTTACATTAAATTTTTTTCTCGTATATTTTTTATTTATTCTAATATAAAAGTATTTAGATATCTTTTCATTTAAGAAAGCAAATTTAAAATAAAAATAAATAATAATAAATTAAATTTTACTTTATTTTGTTAAATTAGAACTAAAAAAATTATCTTAATATTTATTTGAATTGATTTTTTTTCAAAAAAAATAATTGTTTTTCTTAATTTTTTAAAATTTACTTTCAAAAAAATATTTTTAAGGGGGCCCCTAATCATTGGGGGCCCAGGCCATGGCCTAATGGGCCCTGCTAGCAGTTTGATTTATCAATGAAAAACATAAACAGGAATAAATCAAACTATTTTATGTTATTTATATTTTATAAATGTTGAGCAAAAAAAAAATTTTTTTTTCTATTTTAAATAAGGTGTTCGATAGTATTCTATATTATAACTTAATGAGAAATTTATAGTCGCTTAAGTACTTTAATTTTTTTTCTACAATATTCACACATTATTAACCAAATATTTTCTTTTTCATTTTTAGAGATTTAATGCATTCCGATGTCTCTTAGGTAATAAAAGCTCTTTTTTTTTTCAAACCTAAAATTTGCTTGGCTTATGTTTGTAGGCGTTTCTCGTACCTAAACCACCTAATCCATTATCTGCCGAAGCTAGACTAATGTGGCGATGTCATTCTCCGAAACCCGAAGAAGATATTATGTACAACGTAGGCTGTGCCAAATCAGTTATAAAGCTACTAAAGGTACATTTTTTTTAATGGCACTCTTTGTTATTCCAAATTTGACAAGTATTTCTCAAAGTACGTAAAAGAAAACAATGCGCAAATAAAAATAAAAAATGCTCTGCGAAATAACTTGTGAGCTAAACATGGGAATTTTACATACTGAAGATGCGATTTTCATGGTTTAATAAAAGCTCTTAAGATATTCTAATTATTTAGTGTGTTTCTAGAAAATTTAAGTTACAAAATCAGATTCCAAAAAGGTAATTTCTCTGGATAAACGTACCAATCCTTTTAGCAGATTTGGATTTTAGAACTTCAACTTATGGTCAAACTCAATTTTATCGATCTTATTTTCAATCAATTTTGATCAATTTTTCTTATCGATAAATAGAGAGACTAAAAAGTTCCATTCCCCAAAATTGTTTTGCATTAAAATCTCAGTTCTCAACGTTTTCGTTTTTTTTTCCATAAAAATTTCATTTTTTTCCCGCTTAGAAAATTTACAGAAATAGAAAGGTCCACTAAGCAATAATAGAATAGTAGTTAGATGGCTGAATTAGTTCGTCTCTTGAATAAATTTTAGCACTAAAATTTATATTGCTGATGCATTTTTTCTTAATTTATTTTTACTGTTTACCTTTTTAACAAAGATTTTTAAAGGCAGTTTTGTCCCTTCAAATGCAATCAAATACACTGGTGGACAAAATTAAGAGATGGAAAGCATTTTCGTACATGAAAGATACCCGCACACCGCTCCATGTGTTTGACAATGGTTCCGTGAATGCCCAGGGGTACGGGAAGGAGGTCCTAGAGCCCTATGTGCGTCTTTTCAGGGGCGCTGTTGGCCCTGAGTTCATTTTTATGGACGACAATGCGCGACCACATAGGGCTCTCATGGTTGATGAGTATCTGGAAAGCGAGGATATTCAACGAATGGATTGGCCAGCCTATTGAACATGCTTGGGATGCTCTTGGGAGAGCTATTGCGATGCGCCAACCTCCCGCCAGAACCATTCTGGAGTTAAAAATTGCTCTGGTGGAAGAATGGGAGGGTCTTCCACAAGTCCTCCTTAACTCCCTTATTAACAGCATGCATACTCGTTGTGCATGCTGTCTGTCAGTCAGGGGTGACCATACACCATACTAGAGGCAACACACACTGTACAGACCTCACTTTTATTGTCATCTTTTATCCTTAAGTTCAGACTACATTGGATTTATTGGCAATAGGTCTTGCCAGTGAATGGCACTATCATTTTTGTTTTGCATACTTTATTATCATGGAATAAGCTATATCCATACCAAATTTCAATTATTTATTTTCAGTATTTTTTGAGATACATATTTGGGAAAATGTCTTCCATCTCTTAATTTTGTCAACCAGTGTAGTTAAATTGTTGGGTACTTCTTAAATTGAGAAAAATTCTCAAGAACAAATATGAACAGACAAACAAACAAGGAGACAAAAAAATAAAAACTTTCCCTGTGATATTTTGACTCCACAAAACTACTTTATCAATCATTTATTCTAAAATTTAGTAAAAGCCAAATACGTACGTTTTTTTTAAACAATAAAAACTTCACTTTATTTGATGCGTCACAAATACGCATCCGATGTATAATCATTGCACTTCTCCGAAATAATGTTTTATTTTTATTGTCTTTATTGACCCTTAAAATTTCATTATCGGTGACGTATGTTTCACGCGGATTAAAAAAAAATTTCTATCCTAGTAACAGTCGATTACTTTTCTACTTATACACTATTAAACAAAATTTATTTTTGCTTCTATTTTGCAGTAAAGGTAAAAGGTAAGGTTATGATGATAAGAGCTCACAGGCGCAACATATTTGAATAAATTTTTCTAATAAAATAAAATGAAATATCCGTCGTTCGTTTTGTGTTAGCTTTTTATCTCAAAATATGTTATTAACGCAGGTTTAACACTTCCTTCTAGTTTAGTGTCGCTGAAATATAAATTTTATGTTTAAAGCTTATGATTAAAAACCAGGTTTGAAATGTTTTAATTTTAGTTCAGTAAAATTAGACTTCTTCTCCGAAAAGTTAATACACAAATTTTTTTTCTATAGAAAACTTTGTCATGTTATTATAAATGATGAACATATCTCTGAACACTTTCCTCTGTATGCTTTCCTCATTTTTATTTTATAACCGTCGTTAAACAGCTGACCCAATTTTGGATTTACAACTACTAGTGTTCAACTCCGTAGCCTTCTAATTTTGAGCCCAGTGCTGAAGACAGGAAAACTCATATATCAAATAGTGAAAATAATTAGCCTTTGTAGAGGACTTATTGATTAAACTACCCCCCCCCCCCCATCTCCNCTACCCCCCCCCGCATCTCCTTTACGTGGGGAGGAAAACCACGAGAACATCCCACGGTTAGTCTGACGGCAAGGGAAATTCTAATCCATGATCCGTCTACCACTGAGGATATTTCACTATTTTTTGACGGAAATAGGGATGGTCTGAAGAGGAGAATCGAATATCTTTTGGACAGGCAAATGATGCATTGTTTCAGATTTATATTTTGACACTCAATCGAATAAGATCAATCCTCAATTCTATTCTCCAAATCAAACCAACACCATTTCCCTCAAAAAAGAAGAATCGTACGGAAAGGAGTAGGAAAATTTTCATGATTCACTTTTCATAACATTTAAAAAAAAATTCATCAAAAATATTTTTTGACACTATTGGGTATTAATTTTTCCATAAAACTGTATCCTCATTTTTTATCTGAATCAGAGAACGATCAATCTCCATTTCAGTACCCTCAGAGGTATAATTTGTTATGGGAACGTGGAGGACTTTGTGACCTGATAGATTTAACGTGCACCAATTCTTCGGCCGGCTGGATTTTAACTCCCGTTCATACTCCCCAGTCATATTCCGTTCGCATACACGATTTTTTTTGCATGCTGTATGACTTTCCCAGATACACACTGGCAAGCATACAATTTCAACTTTTTCCCCCAACGGATTTAGAAACAATCGTTTGTTAAGTCATTGTCTTTTTTGTGAATTTTTGTGTAAATTAGAACAAGGCAACATAATAAAAAAAATGTTCTTTGCAGCTGCTAAGAGATAAAGAGAAGTGGTCAATATTAGCCTCATATTATTTGAAAACTGTCGTAATGTGGATGATTATTGAAAACAGTGGAACATCCGACTTTTGGAAAGAAAATCATATCGTAGAAAGATTTTTTGAAGTATTATGTTTTTCTTAATATTCACATAGACTTTTTACATTTACAGCTGAAGATTTTGGGGGCAATCTAGCAATAAGCCACCTTTATCAAAAGGATGTCTAAATTGAGTAAGTGGCCTCACGAAAAAGATTACAGAGGATCAAAAGTGTGATGGTATGTCTTCGGATCATCTTCAAGAATGTCTCCCAAACCGTCCCCAATAACCCATTGCGCAGCTCTAGTGTGACGTAAATAAAAGTACCTAGCTTTTTCAAAAGGCGGCATTTTTATACCAAGTAATTTAATATACTATAATACGTTTCTGAAATTTCCCCTACTGCCCGGTGTTGCTCAGTCTTTTTGGCCCTGCGACCCCGTAAACTTGTTAAATAAAACAATAGTAAGTATAACAGACAGAAAAGCCTTACGAATATTAATTTCTTTTGCGACCTTTTTACTTTATAAAAAAAAGGCTAGGTGGCGCTAAAAACTATGTACAGGAATCGTCTCATATCACTTGAATACAATTAGTTTTCTATCATTAAGTCTCGGGAGAACAAACTTTTAAAGGAAAAAAACAAACTCAACCTATCCCTTTACTTGTATATATAACAAGACGGAATGTAATTAGCACTACTACTGTAATTTCTTTGAAAATACGTGTTTTTTGGAACAGTTTTTTTTTATGACCGCCGTTGAACAGCCGATTCAATTTTGGGTTTAGGACTACCAATGTTCATCTCCTTGGCCTTGTAACTTTGAAACCAATACAGAAGACTAGGGAACTCTAGGATCAAATATTGAGAGATATTTGACCTCCTGGAGATCTTTTTGATTGAAATAACACGCATTTGCGTTACATGGAAAGGAAAGGCAAGGGGACTTAAACCCATGATCCGTCTACCACTGAGGATATATTACGTCACTGTGGTCGGTGCGAACTGGGTGAGGAATTCGAATCGACCAGCCATTGCTGGGATTTGTTCAAATCACTAGATGGAGAGCGCTCTATCCCCTGAGCCACAACGACTCTTTTTTTTTAAGTTGTTGTAATTTATGTACGTCACACTAGAGTTGCACAATGCGCTATTGGCAATGGCCTGGGAAACAATTCTAAGGCTGATTGCCATCATAATTTTGATCTTCTGAGAAGTGTCCCTCCCTTCGTGTTAATAGCTTAACGGTCTACAGACACTTAAGGCCTGTTTAGACGATCCAATTTCTTGGACAGAGATTGATTGATATTGATGGAAACTTGTTTTGCTTTGAGCTTGGATCGTGTAAACAAGCATCCAAGAACTTGGTCCAACTTCTTGGACGATAGTAGAGCATGTTCTACTTTCCATCCAAGTTTTTTCTCCCTTAACCAATCAGCGTCTTAGGTTTTGTGACGTCAACAAGCAGGCAGAAAATTATGTCATTTTGTTGTGGGTTTTTATATATTTTAGTCCAAATAAATTGATCTGTTGAGGTTTATTTGTGTTATTAGGATTTTATTTGAATTTATTTAGTAATTTTAAACTTATGTAAGTATTATTTTATAATATTGAGTATGAACAATGCGCATGCGCAAGTTTTTCTTTCAACGAATCAGCGACATGCAAGAAATTGGATAGTGTCAACGAATCATCCAATTTCTTGGACAGAGAAATCCGTCCGATTTCTCGGATTCAAGAAATTGGACCGTGTAAACAGGCCTTTACTGTAAAACACTTCTATATTCACCGTAAGTGTCAACACTTTCACGTGTAGACACTTACGGTGTACACTTTACTGTAAAACAGTGCATTTTAATCGAAGTGATCGCCCTCCGCTGCCAGGGACAACCATGTCCTACGATCAGTCCACAATGGGGGAGAATTTTTATTTTTATATGTATGTTACTTATGCATTAATGACCCTCCTCAGGTTTGTGAATACCAGATTGGATAGTACTGGAATGGTCCGAAACAGCTTGCGGCGTACAAATACGATGTTTGTTTTTTTTAATCAGAGAACCTTCAAAGAACGTTTTGAAATTGTGGCTTATAATTTTATTGCCCCAATCGTTTCAATTTCAATTAAAAACAGTCTCATTACTTCTGTTTTTGTAAATGATATTTGAATTGAAAGTAAAGGGAAGGAACATGTTACGTAAAATTTTGAGAACAATCAAGTTTCTAGGTTTGAAGACTTGCTGATGACGGCTTTAAATATCAAATATTTATTTTCCAAAATTTGTATCACTAGCTGATTTTAAGAGAACAACAGATATATAAACAGTTTCCAGTTTTATTCCGTGCATTACTTTTTATTAAATAAATGTTGAAGTTGATGTTTTAAAATTAAATTAAATATTTCTCTTTTAACTTATATATGCTTATCAATTAACTCATATCTTGTTGGTTTTTGTTTACTTTCTCCAATATATAATAGATAAATTCATAACATATATAATATATCAAAATAAATTCATAACTTTTGTAATATATGAATATAAATGTATTACCTATTGGCACTGACGTATGAATTTATACGTCATACGTATGAATTTTCGAGCCACGATGATTCAATGGTAAAGGGACTGAACTGTTATTATGAAGAACTGGGGTTCGATCCTCAATGGCGGCATGAAACCCACCTCGTCTTAGATCGATGGGATTAATGACGGAATTAAAGACGGCCTGTGCCAATGCTGACCACATAGTCACAATCATGAGATTGGGAACGAAATTATAGTGACCCCTGGCCAACTCGGGAGGGGGGGTTGCAGGAGTGCTTTACTTTTTTTATGCATGGGTTTATAAATTCATTTTTTCTCCAATTAAGATTATTAGGGAAACCAAATATTTAAAAACATTGTTTGAAACAAAACTGTGCAAGGCTTTATTTTGGTTAGCTATATTTTCCAAAATGATATTTCTAAATTAATTAAAACGTCGCTGATTAGAATCTTCTACAAACCTCTTCAATTAACGTTAATATTTTGGCTTTGAGAGTTTGAACTCCTTGATATTAATTTCACTTATTAACACATGAGTCACTAATTAATTTATTTCATTCTAGGCACTCGAGAAACTAGCCGAGTGTGTGGGACGGAAGAAAATCCCATACATATTCAATACTGACTGCAACTTGATTGAAAAGATCGGTCACCAGGAAGCATATGATATCAGCAATCGGTTGAATAGTTTCATTCGAAACATAAATCGGGATAGAAACTACCTAAGAAGAATATTTTGAAAAAGTTTTTTTTTGTTATCCTTAAATACATCCAACAAAAATATTCATACTCTATTCTTAAAGAGATTTTTTTTTTTTTTTTTTTTTTTTTTTTTTTTTTTTTTTTTTTTTTTTTTGCTGGGACAACTATACTAAAAATTTTGATACAATTATTTTAATATCATAAAATTTTCCAGCTAATATATAGATATGTAAATTTATTATTTACATAATCAATATAAATCGAACATTTTTAGCGAATACAGGGTGTCCTAAAATGACCACCCTTATTACATATATTTTTGGAAAGTTATTAAAAAGTTTTCCTAGTATACACAGTAGGGCTAGTAATTTAATGAGAAATAAACATTATCGTATTCTATAGGATGACTAGTGAAGTAAAGAATATTAAAACCAGTTTGATTGCCTAAGAAACAATTGAGGACGTTCGATTCCTCTTGCGTTCGAAAAGGGTTTGATGTTTTTAGAATTTATAATATTTGACGTTTATTGATGTTTGTATGAATTTATAATATTTGACTATTATACTTAACTAGCAAGTCAAAATGTTAATTATTTATAAATTCATATACTTGAACTTTTTCAACTGAAATTTTCGAACTTATAAACTTCGTCACCAATTTAATAGAGTTTTGGAAATCAAATCATTTTACTCATAAAAAATTAGTCGTTTGGGTAATTTGCGGTATGTTTATGTATGTTTTTTGTTTTTTTTGTTTATAGAAGGTAAATGTTACTTGAAACTTGGAAAAAGTTATTGGCATCCCAACGGTATAAAAATTTTTAACTTTTTATATTAAAAGAAAAAAGATCAAATTTTAACTACTTTCCCTAAGCTAAGTATTTAGTTATACGGAAAGAAAATTATGTTGCAGTATTATTTTAATGTTTGTTTAATTTTTAACTTTGTGTTTTGTGTAATATACTTTTACATAACTATAAGTATTACTTGGTAACAGTTTTATAATGTAAAAAGATACTTAAAATATCTGCTCTTAATAAAGTACTTGTAATAATGCTGATATTAATTGTCTATCTATCATAATATTAATGACCTTCTAACTGAATTTTATTGTTCCAGATATTTTGATTTTTAATAAATGAGATTTTATAGAAATTAAAAAAAATCTTAAGCATTAAAAAAATAACTTTTTGAAATTATAGTTTTTTTTAAAAAATGTTTATATTTTTGCAGTTTGTATTCAGAAATAAATCTTATTGCAACTTTCTATTAATATTTCAAACGCAATTTAAGAAACCTCACTTATTGAATAAAACTTTGATACTTCTTCACTATGCCGATTAATTCATTTAATAGAAATTAATTGTGCTGAAAGTTATGATAATAATATCATAACTCTCAGCTATGCACATAATTTGTTAATTGTGCATAAAATTTCTCTTCGAATTTTATGATTTTGTGTATTAAAGAAGAAAAAATGCCGTATTAATATCTATGTTCTTCTAAAAAAAATAAGTATTGTTTGTTCATCTTTTCTATAATCACTTATAAACTGTATTACTCTATTATTAAAAATTTGAAACTATTTTTAATAGTTATTTTATTTGGGGAATTCCATGCTTTATTTATTGAAAAACAAAAATAAACGTCTTCGTAAATTAAAACACATTTAACATTTTATATTTATAACAACGACTTTATGGATACTCAAATCTCACGAAATTTTCTTTGATGGAAACGTTTTCCCGGTATATGCTCCGAGCAAAATTTCCGTCTAAGTAACAAAATAACTGTAATCATTTCTTCAAGGAAACAAATTTCGTCAAAATGAAAGAAATATTTCGTCATAATATTTTTTTCAAAAAAAAAAAAAAAAAAAAACACAAATGTGAAAACNTAGCGCCTATTGCATTTTAACTTTCCATAAATTACACTCGTGCCCGAAACGGGATTCAAACCCGTGATCTTCCTACTACTACGATCCCAACTTTTTCACCATAGAGGCCGGTCTGCTTGTCCGTCACTTTATTTTCTATCGTCTCTAGTCTTCATTCTTCTAATAAAACTTCCACAACAATAATCTTTCGAGTTGAGGAAATATTTTCGTCATACTTTTTATTTCGTCATACGTCATTTGAGAGTTCAAGTGATTTCGTGACGAAATAATTTTCAAAATTAACGAAATAAAGCTCAAAGATTCCTGACTCGTCGAAATGTAGAATTCGATTTCTAAGAGTGCAATCGACCCTCGATATTAATAACTAAAATTTTCGAAGCACTGAAAATTTGAGCTATCGAAAATCAAATATTTTTTAGAATTTAGTGAAAATAATAACTAAGCTGCATTTTACAAGTTTTATGACACGTATATTTACTTAAATACGTTTACTTTACAGGGGTCTGTTTACAAGAAATTTGGGTCCGTTAACGGCCCCTTCACAAAATATCTTTTCTTAAAAACTTCACAAAATATTTTAATTTAAAAACGGACCCTTCACAAAATGTTTTAACTTAAAAAACGGACCCTTCACAAAATGATTTTTCTTTTAATCGGACCCTTCACAAATTTGTTTATCTTCATTATTATTTTGTTAATCGAATAAACCCTTTCCAGAGCAGAAAACAAGAAAGATGGATGTAAACGAATTAAGTTTTGTCTTCGGCAGACGATTCTTCCATTATTCGTCCGAAATTAATATTCTGCGTTCAGCAGTATAGGCTAAGTACCAAATATTTGTATGTTGCATCTATAATTTAGAAGCAGCTATTGTTGTTTATTTTTTAAAATGTAATTTTTTTAATTATAATTTTACAGTGTTGAGCATAATCTTGTATCTATTTACAATTTAAAAACTCCTTG